GGGATCTTTGCTCTTACTGAAATGAGGAAGCTCTGGGAAATTTGGAAAATTGGAAAAATGCCAAATTTGCGCATTATTTGAGGGTCACTACCGCAATGTTAATTTAAGACTTTCCGTTTGTATAAAATCGCAAGGCGATTGTGGTTTCCTACGAAGAAAAAAAAACCTAAATTAACACGAATTTAGTTTTGTTATTGAATTCAATTATTTTGATGTTCTTACTAAACTTCCCTTATCCTTAGCTCTTCGTATAGCGGAGTGAGTATCTCGTTTTTCTTTGCATTATTGCTTATGTTGTGACATTTATATAGAGATTTCCTTCCAAGCTTTCTGGGCCAAGGAAATCATTAGAATTTTCCACAAGACTTAGAGGAAATTTTAGATCAAAAAAAGCTCTCACAATCTCTCACATTCATCTTACTCAGGAATAATAGGTCTTCCACCATTTTGCATAGGCTTATAGTATGCCATTGAAATAAATGTGGAGCCCTGGAAAAGTTCGTATAGATGGCTCTATTGGGATTTTTTTCTTTGAGAATGACTTGCAAGAAACTTTCGTCCAAAACGTTTTCAGATCTTACGTCATTCTTAAAGAGTTCTGAATTCTTGCTAAATAATTAATATTCTACTTAAAGTTCGTAAGCGTATAATGGGATTCTTCAAAAAGTACCATAAGAATTGTTTTCTATCTTCTTTTTCCTTTCCCTCTTCCTCCATAGTCCCTCCCCTTCCACCTAGGTGGGCCAAATAGTCAAAAACACCATTTACGCAAGCGATAACTGCACTTATATGCTTGTGAACTTACTACGACCTTGAATAGGTTTGATTACCCAAGCATAACGTATCCGACAGCTTTGGGAGCAATTACATTGATTTGGGAGCAATTTTGTGCACCTTACGACCCCCCCCCCCCCGCCATTCTACTTTTCTTCGCACCCCTTCTCGTCATTTAGGAGATCCTAAGTAAGATTAATCCTCTCCCCCACTTCTTTCATTATTTTCCGAAAAAATTGCTAGCCATTGACCAGCTTTGGCGACCAGCATTTACGCCTCATATCACATGCGTAGGCAAGCCAGCGAGCGCTTTCTGGAGCGGTGCCAACAACCGGAGGTAGCCGTTTAAGAGCATGAACCAATGACGTTTTTATATACCTACTCACTCACTTGCATCCTACTTGTTCTCCTTGTTAGTCTACTTGAGCTTAGGGTTTAGTCGAGTTTCTCAGAGATAGTGTAGCTTGAAAATATGCTGAAGTAGAGCCGAAATTCTTTTGACTAGAGAGTTTTTTTGACTTTATTCGAAATTTTTTTGAATTTTTCAAGACAAAGCCAACTTGAATTTAGTGACCCTTTTATTCACTCTTTCATTTGAACGTCTTTTAGAAGGATGGTCGTTAGACGAAAACTAGTCTCCGCCACATATCTTGTTAAGGCGCTTTTCGAAAATGTTTGTTTTCTTTTAACTCAAATTCTCTTGGGTTTCTAAAGCGCATAGTATAAGCCACTGGAAGTTGCAAGGTTTCTCTTCGAATGAAGCTCCTCGAAAAAATTTTGTGCCCCCCCTCCCCTTTTTGTACATTTTTGCAAGAACTCATACCTCTATGGTTCTAATAAGCACATGGCGGAAAAGAATAAGAATAAGATCAAAGTTCTTCTTCGGAAATCTAGTTTTTCTTGAAATGCGTAAAATCAACTCGCCTTCAAAAAAGTCATCGCCATATAATCGAAAAGATAACTGACGTTTAATGAGGTAGAATTTTGAAGATTTTTTTTGGCATAATAAATTTTCCTTCTTCTCAGTCAGAAATTTCCTCTAAAAAATAAATAGCAATTATTCTATCCTCCAAAAATCAGAGAATAACATTTTTCTCCACCAAAATGATTTACGGCTCTTTTTAAAATGTAAAGTTTCTTTTTTTCTGAAAAGTACTCCTTCACTCGAAAATACGAGACTTTAGAACACAAAAGATAGCCATACCTGACAATTTCCATAGAGATGAGGTATTCCGCCAGTCGAGAAGTGTTACCACTTTCTTCAAACCGCCTAAAGAATGCCCTCTTCGTTACTAATCTGATTTAATGAATGTTGGAGCTTTGCCAAATAGCCGTACATTTTAAAACTTTCATAAATCCCTCCTTTCCTTCCGCAGTCTCCAGGAGATAAATCCACAAGGAGGGCGATGGCGAAATCCGTTCAAATCTTCAAATTAATTTTTGAATCCCCTAAATTTTCAAAATTCTTGAACGTTGAAACACTGAAAAAACCTCAATGATAAACAAATTTCTCTTACCAAGCGGTTGGAAGTTTTTACAATTTTCTCAGTTATCCGCAGATAGAAACAGTCACCAGCATACTGTTAAACTGTAAACTTAAAAATCTAGCAACATATTTCTCTCCCCTGGACGTCCTTTACTAAAGCAGACTAATTCAAGATGTGAGAATGAATCCTTTGATTTGCAAATAGTATTAAAATGCCATCATTAGTAACAATAACGATGCCATAAGTTCAGCAGTTACTGTTACATTGTTTCTTTGACGAAAACTGGTCTCTGCTTTTCTTGAATCTGATGATATGGGGTCTAAGAATTTTGTCTTCAGACGAATTGTCACTAAAGTAACTTGCTTGAGCATTTATCAACAAAAATTGAATACTTTCGGACCTCCGGTATGTTTGTCTAATTTTGGAGTATTATTATTTACCGTATTTGATGACTCTTACTAAATATTTGGTCAAAAACTAAAGCATGCTCCCTGTCTATGAGAGGTCTGAAACGCGTCGAAGCTGTAATTTAATACCATAATGCAATCCACATAAAGAACCTTGCTTGCTTTGGGTTAAAAATAAACATAATAGCCTTTTAAAGCCTATAGCTCACGTGACAAGGTTTATAAAGCTGGAGTAAGCTGTACTTCTGCTATTCAATTCGTAACTCAAGAGTTATTTCTGAACCTAAGGAGCAAAGTAGAAAGCAAACTGAGGGACACCGAACTTCTATTCCGTTTGATTTTTCACGAACTCATAAAATCATAGTCAAAGTTCTGTGCTGAATGTAGCCGCATAGATATAGTCGTTTTCAATATGTATAGGCCGTCCGCGCAGGGCGCGGAGAGTGCGCAAGGTGTGTATTGCACGTCACTCCTCTTTCCTCGTGCACTCTCGCCGCCTGTTTTTCTCTGCGCTTCCTTCAGTCGTGAACTGCCTTCAGTGTACGCAACAGCGTTGCTCTCCGTGCGCAGCGCGGACGCCGTACAGTTGTTTTCAATACGTATTGGTTTTTTCTACCGTATGCCTTCCAGCCTCAACATGACGTGGATTGGTGTGGATTGGTATGGATTGGTGAGGCGCCGCATCGCTTCGGGTTTGCGCCGCGTTGCTTTTCTCGGCGGCGCCGCACCAATCCACACCAATCCACACCAATCCACACCAATCCACGTCATGTTGAGGCTGGAAGGCATACGGTAGAAAAAACCAATACGTATTGAAAACGACTGTATATGCCTTCCAGCCTCAACATGACGTGGATTGGCGTGGATTGGTGTGGATTGGTATGGATTGGTGAGGCGCCGCATCGCTTCGAATTTGCGCCGCGTTGCCTTTCTCGGCGGTGCCGCACCAATCCACACCAATCCACGCCAATCCACACCAATCCACGTCATGTTGAGGCTGGAAGGCATACGGTAGAAAAAACCAGCCTTCCAGCCTCAACATGACGTGGATTGGTGTTAATCGGTGTGGATTGGTATGGATTGGTGAGGCGCCGCATCGCTTCGGGTTTGCGCCGCGTTGCTTTTCTCGGCGGCGCCGCACCAATCCACGCCAATCCACACCAATCCACGTCATGTTGAGGCTGGGAGGCGTACGGTAGAAAAACCAGTACGTATTGAAAACGACTGTACAGTAGCCGTGATCGGTCAATTCGTGCAATCACACACCATGTTCAAATTTTTCACTTATTATTTTGAGCACCTATGATTGTAAAGCAATGTTGACATGTAATGAGGTCAATTTGTTTGTCTTAGTATAGTTTTTGTCATTTAATTTCAAATCCAAGAATTTCAAAAAAATCTCTCTAACATTTTGGCTAATTTTCTATTCCGGTGTTAATTATACCGGTTATGAATTGTTTCAATATGGATTCACAAACTTGGTGCAATTACACAAGACGACGTGGATGACGAGCAGTCTACTTCATTAAATTCTCTACTTTGTGAGAAGGAAAATGTTAGCCATATTTTACCACAGGAGTACAGCGAAATTAGCATTCAAAATTTAATTAACATTTAAGTGCTCCTTAGTTTCTCAATCTTTCTAGTCCTTGAGTACACAATTCTTTCAAATCTGGAAAATGCAGTGGATATACCAAATACTAATTATTTGTTATTCAGCTCAGATCCTTTCCTGGGATAATGGCATAGAGACCAATGCCACAATTAAAGAATTATTTCGTCCATTCAAGATTCTTTGATCGCGGTTTTTTTCGGAAAATCTACTTCCATAAATAATAGGTCACTATTTCTTTAGAAACATGCATTTGTGATGTTTGGTTTCTCTATTTAAGAACTGCAACAATATTTATCCGCTCACTTCCTTTTTTATTCGTGTTTGGAAGTTCTATGAGGTTTTGCGAGTTACATAGATACTACAAGCATACGGAACTATTTTCCTTCCAGTGAAAGCCCAAAAACAAATCTTAGGACTTATTCTGTGAAGGGGAGGGGGGCAGAAAGACCATTTGCGGAGAATAGTGTTGGGCACGTCCTCAAAGAATTATTTTGAGAAGCTTTCGAGATTCTTTTGCGAGCTTCAATCTTGGAAGTAATAATTTTACAAAGCTCTCTCGTTCTGGAAAAATTCCTAAAGCAGTTCTACCATTTATATGAAATTCGCTGCATTATTCTGAAACTCATGTGCGTCTTTTAAATAATTCACGACTGCGACTTATTTTCGCTCTCCTCCCTTATTCTTCAATCGTTATTCCTTCAAGCAAATCTTTCAGGGATGTCCGTAAGCATTGAAATACCGAATAGTGAACGACCGTTTGTCCCAGGCGATGTAGTCGAAGGAACAGTCAATATAAACGCAGACCACCCTCTCAAGGTAAGGTTACAGTAACCATCGTTTACGCTTTACGGTAGTTACCTTCAGGCTAAAGCAGTACGAGTTTTCCTCAAAGCTGGAGCCGAAACGGAATGGTGGGTGTCCGTCTATGGAATCGAGTGAGTTCATTATTTTTTTTAGTATGCGTAATCCGTAATCGCAGAATTGTTTTGTTTGCAGTTCTGTACATGGCAGAAGTGCGAAAGTTTTCTATGCAGCTAATCTTACCTATGCGCAAGAGGAAAGCTGCCTTTGGGCCCCAGAAGAGAATGAGAAGAAGGGTACAATCCCAGCAGGAATGCATTCATTCCCATTCACATTTACATTACCCGAAGATTGTCCGCCAAACTTTGAAGGTTAGTTTTTGATGTAGTTTTCCGGCAGCAATTTGCCATATATCAGCAGAAGTAGTTTACGATGTCTTTGAAGTCATTTACTCTTGAAACAGCGTTTAGAGTTGCATGTATGCCATCGCTGTTCTAGCTCTGTTCCAACGCCGCGTCAGCTCCGTGCCAGAGCCGTGCGCTAACGCCGTGCCAAAGTTGACACGGAACTGGCACTACAATGGCGCTGGCACAGCTCTGGCACGGATTACTTTTTATGGAAGCAGTCTGAGGAGAGAAGCGGTATTTGAGTTCAGTAGACAGCAGTGGCGATCGTAGGATTTCCTTCCGGGGGGGGGGGGGGAGGAGGGGCGGCAAAAATGTTTTCAAAATGAAGACGCGTAACCTTAGCCATGCACTCCGTTTTTTACAAAGCTAATTTTTTCAAAAAATTTTAAAAATTATTTTAATTATTTAGAATAAACAGCTCACCTACGCATTTTTATAACCCATGCAAGTAAAAAAATTTTCGCGACCCATTCTCGGGGGTAGGGGGCAATGCGCTCCCCTCCCGTTCCCCCCCCCCCTCTCGGACCAAAAATACATAATTTTGTTTAATTGAGAGTGAATTTGATGTGCAAATGCAAACAAAACCAACCAGTTACTCCATTATATTCATTGGTAATTTTTTGAAACAGAAGAATTTTTTTGGGAAGCGAATCTCTTTGCGCTAGCCACCAAAGTAGACCATCTTTCCAAGCTATCCCCCCCTCTTCCCCCTCTCCCTCCTCATTCCTCTTCCACTCCTTATCACTTGGCACTCGCTTCCTGCAATGTTACCCGAGGTAGATCTGAACGTTTTAGGTAGTTGCGGCTCCATAACTTACACGATAACAGCAGAAGTGGAACGTCCATGGAAAGTAAACAAAACCGCTTCCGTCAGTCTATCAGGTATGAAAGTATGGAACTTACCGTGATCATTCACAGTTGGCCATTATACGCTAACGATATGAAACACTTTTGGATCAACGAAGAAAATCACTCTAGGACCGGGCATACTTCACGCGATTTCAGTCGCGGCGCGATTTGGCAATTCGCCAGGAGTGGTCAGATCCAACACTAGCAAACTGCACATGCATAGTGTGTACAACTCACATGAATTGATAAAATGCCCTAACTTCTCTGCATTTGAAATGTGCTCACAGTGAGTTATGAACAGTTGGAATCTTGCCAAATCGCGTCGCGACTGAATTCGCGTGAATGCCCGGCCTTTTGGAAACTATAGAGAGAATCTACGAGCAAGCTCGTTCGTAAACTTAGAATAGTGTGTGTCCTTGAGCTTTTTGCATGTAGTCCTTAACGTTGTAAATCAAAAACGTGTGGCGGTGGAGCAGCTGTCTTGGAGCGCGTAAGTTGCCACGCACGCGTCGCACTCGCATGCGCCTCGCTTATATGGCGCGCGCCTTGATTTAGAACGGAGATGTATTCGCTGTCGATTATCCCTTCTTTCATAATGATCCGGTCAATTTCTTGGTGTTTTATTCGACTCATAATTGTCCATTTTCAGTTTGCCCCGTGTTCGACCTAAATCTTATACCCGAGGCAAGCAGCTCATCATCTGCTTTCAAATTCAAGAAAACTGGTTTCGTGTTCCTTCGCCACGGAAAATTATGCGTGCAGGTAATTTCCCAATTTTTGGCCCACGGTTTATGCTTACCTCATCTTTATCAGATGAAACTTGCTCGGTCCGGATACACTGTGGGAGAAACGATTGAAGCTTTGATCGAAGTCAATAATGATACTAAGCAGCCAGCAGTTAGGGTAAGCTTAATCGTTGCAGGGTAGGCGAGATACGGTAATCTACCGTAATCTTCAGCTTGATATGCGGCTGCGCAGAGTGGACAATTATACAGCATATCGCCATGGTAAGACGACGACAAATAATGAAAATAGGTGTAACAAGCGTCAGGAGGAGACGACCATTGCTGATGAGAGCAAGGTTAGGAACAGCCGATCGATATCTATCCCTAATACGTGCCCAATTTAGTCCATTAATATTGCACCACATGAGGTTGGAAGCACAACTGTATCGCTAACAATTCCGGAAACAACGCCAACCATCAAAACCTGCTCTATTATAGAGGTTACCTACTACGTGGAGGTAAGCGAGTAATTTATACCATGCGTGCACATCTGCGTGCAGCGGTTGGCATGAAACAATCAATAATTGCGGCTACTTGAGAAATTTTGCACGTCGACGCGACTCATAGGCGTCTTGCGTCGCGTTGCGGCACGCCCGCAGCCGCCTATGAGTTTGCGATTAAGCGATTTTTCCATTTGTTTTATGGTATGCGCCACAAAATTGAGCTATGTTGCAAAATTGTACAACTGCTCTTATTCTTTCTTATTTGAGTCACGCCAAAATTTTTTGCAGGTGCGTGTTGTCTGCAAAGGAACTATCAACAGCAGTGTCGCATGCCGTTGTCCAGTGATTATTGGCACACTACCATTGACAGAACCCACAGCAAGAGTCACTGAAACTTAGGAGTAAGTGTATTTTTCCGGTTTTTAGACTGGAAAACTTATCCGCGCAAATTCTGTAGCATTACGCGACCGCAACGCATACGCACACTTAGGCAGTGATGCGGTGTGATACGTCCTTTGCACTATCGAAACGAAGAAAAAAGTGTAGGAAATTTCAAACGCTATTCTTATGTTCATTGTCTGCACTATACTGACTTGCCGTGTCACAACCGCAACCACCCGCTACACAGGTCCATCCGCGAAGCTATCTGACTCCATTACAACCGCGTCACAAACGCGACGCATGGTAGCTTCAGTAACCGCGCGATTTTCAAATAATAGCATATTTCGTGGGCATTTTTTCACAAACTTTACATATAGTAGGGCAATTCTGATGGCTATCGAGCCCCCAAGATAATTGTTGTTATTTCCTGGAATCTTTGCTATTGACAAATTTTTTTAGACGATGCAACCAGTGCTGGGAGAAAACAAGAACTGCAGTGGACGCCCCTGGCACCGTCTTATCACACAGATACTCTTTTTCAGGAATGTGCAAATAAAGGGCTTTTCGATGGATTATCCTTCCGTAAACTTCTAGATAGAAGGCTCAAGGAGAGAAGCAAATTGGGAATTATCATTTCCGATAATGGTACTGCGTATGCTGATCAAGACAAAGCTGCGCGCTTTGCAAACATTTTTGAGGGTGTATTTGTGAGAGATGAATGCACTGATTTACAGCATGATGCTGTCTCGCTTTGAGGTGATGAAGGATTCCGTATATTTTGATGACAACATAATTTATGAGCTTCTCCGTAAGTGACCTTCTTCTAAATCTTTGACACCGGATCACATACCGCTAAATTTCATCAAAGAAATGGCACATTTGATAGCGAGGCCCCTACAGCTTCTATACCATTCAAGCCTGATGAAATCCGAGGGTTCCAGAAAGGTAGAAGATTTCTGTAACTCCCGTTCCCAAAAAGGGGCCCTACGCCAGTCCCTATAACTACCTCCTCATCAGCATTACATCAATTTTTGCTTCGAAAAAATATTGAAGAAACATATAATAAAGCATTTTGATTTAAATGAATTCATATCTCCTGCATGGGTTCCAAAAAGGAGAGTCGACGTGACGGCAATGCTGCAATCCCTAAATGATTGGACACGCTCCTTAGATGTTGGCAAATCCACGAAGGTTGTATGCAACGTCGCTATAGCTTTTGATAAGGTTTTGCACCAAAAATTAGTTTACAAATTAGAAATAGTTGGAGTATACCCGTTTATTGTTTTGTGGATTCAAGCCTTTCGTCCAATCGCACATTCAGAGTTCGTGTGAATGAAGCTTTTTCCAGTCCAAGATATATGACCAGTGATGTACCACAGGGAGGGGTTCTCTCTCCATCCTATCCAATTTTTACATTCACAAACTACGCGGACTTGTTTGCAACGCTGGAGTTTCATGCTATGCATCTGCTGAAGATTTCCAGTCTTATAGTGATGTATCAGGCCTCGGCGACAGAAAGAGATTGCAAGGAGCTCTGAATGCCGTGGTCAGTTGGTCAAAAGTGGGGACTACCCATTTCCCAAGTAAAGACTAAATCTTCACATAGGATCTCATGATATGAACACTTCTATCAGTTAGATGGTAAGGTGATAGAGTATGTCGATGAAGTGACGGACCTGGGATTTTTGACGGATAGTAAGCTCTCCTTTGAAGACATTGTGAGAGAATCGCTGGAAAGGGCACCGTTGCAGTACATAACCTTTTCAGAGCTCTTACAACTATTGATATGGAAATGTTAATGCGAGCATGTAAGGTTTATGTTCGACCGTTACTTGAATATGGTACTTTATTATTGTTATTTATTGTTATTTTTCCCTCTTCGAGTTACGTTGCCCACCGGATAGAGAAAGTTCAAAACAGCTTCACCAGTAAATTGCTGATACGTAAGGCCGGGTTTGTGTACTGTCAATCACCGGACTTCAACATTTGCAATGAAAGCGGGGCTGGAAAATCTGAGCGTTAGACGACAAAATTTTGATCTTTTGATGGCACATAAATATTATTTGGAGGTTGTCGAATGAATTCATCGGATCTTGAGCGCAGAAACTCTACAACTAGGGGCGGTCCAAGTAAGATTGTAATATTTAGAACGAAAAGGAATGTGAGGAAGAACTTTTTCGTAAATAGTGTCACCCGTGACCTTGATAAGCTTCTAAGAATGCAGATACTCCCAGTAAAATCTACTCAGTTTAGAGCTGCTTTCAACATCAAGTCGTTCGTGGCATGTGTTGTTTTGTTTTGTTAATGTTTGGATCCTCTTTTACCAATTGTTTTTTTGTTGCTATGTTCCTAGTTATGTTTCAACTATTCCAGCGTTAATTTCTTTTGTTTCATTGCCCATATGGGCTTGCCCATGTTAATAAATAAATAAATAAATAAATAAATAAATAAATAAATAAATAAATAAATAAATAAATAAATAAATAAATAAATAAATAAAACCAGTGCTGGGAGAAAACAAGAACTGCGGCGGCGCCCCTGGCACCGTCTTATCACACAGATACTATTTTTCAGGAATGTGCAAATAAAGGGCTTTTCAGGTTGTTTGTTGACGACAAGCAAGATCTTTTTTGAAGGGGGGGGGGGGTAAAAAGATAAAATATGTATTCCTGCATTGAACGGTAATCTATTTTTAATTCACATAAGTCTCTTAATTACACTTGCATGGATAGAAATTAACAACTAAACAGTAATTAGTCGATCAATAAACGTTGAGCTTGACGCATAACTGCACGCAGACACATCAAAACTCGTCAAACGCAGAACAGGAGGGTTTGCAAAGCACGGCTCAGCTTTTTTTCTGTGTGTGGAAGGGGGGGGGAGGGTGGAAAAACTTGGCCAAATCTGCATCAATGATCTGGCCTTTATTAAATTGATAAGTAGAGGGAAATATCCTTGTAAAGAAAAAATCGCATATGCATAGAGATTGGCTCCTTACGCAAACTTGCACACAAACAACCGCATCCTTACTTTGGGGGTGGGGGAGGGGGGGGGAAGAAGATTATCGTTGCTGTCTGAAAAATTCGTTACTTTGGGAACAAAAAAGAAGAAAATGACCTCGTAAAATAACTATTTTTGATGGGACGCCTTACGCAAAATTACACACAAACACGTCACTACACGTTACGTGCAGGTACTCTAAAAGCGACCGACTTTTTTTCTTATCGTAGAGACGGGGGATGGGGAGGAAATCAAACAAGGACTGCACTGTGTTTGATATGAGCTTCACCAATTTTTTGAATAAATAAGTGATAATCCTTTGTAGGCAAAAGCTTTGGTAAACGACTGGATCCTCGCGCAAAATTACACACAAACACCAGCAAAACGCTGATCTGCTGAATTTTTCCTTGTTTGATGGCAGTTTTTATTTCGGAGGGGGAGGTGGAGAAACTGAACAAAGTAGCGTTCTAAATATCTTCCCGAAAAAGTGGGGGAAATTTTGCGTCTGAGTACTGGCCCTCACGCAAAATTACACACAAACACGTCATAACTTGTCACATGCACAACAACAAGGTACTCTAAACTTGTAAACATAGCTAGCCTCTCGAAACTGCTTTGCATTTGGCCGCCGAATCGATTTGAAGCGCTGGGTTACCCTCGAAAGAACCGGTCCTCAACCCTCGAACAATAGTACTGTGTTTTTCTTTGCCACGTGCGGACGTACTCGACTCGACTCGAGAGATGAAGCAAAGCGTCTTAGCCAACGGTAAAGTCAATTTGAGCTAGCGTTTTCTTCCCAGGACCCAGGATTCCATGATCAATTCGTCTTATGATAAATTTACAATTTGCAAAATTTCTCTTATCTAGTTGGCGAAAACTCAAACTAATTTTTTCCCATAGTCTTGCTTGACCTCAAAAAATTGTAAATTTCTCCAGTTATAAAGGTAAATGATTTCAGGGTGTAATCTGCTTCCATAAGAGAAATGGAATTGTTACGTAAAAAATCTTTTGTTTGCGGGGAAACTGGAAATCCAAAATTTTGACGGTTTGGTTAGCACTATGCCCCTTTTTTAATTGTTAAAATCCTTGTCGCTTTACCATTTCCTCCATTCCCTCTAAAAAAACCTTTTTCGGATTGCTGGTTTCCTCGAATGGGTGTGTTTCAAGATTTTTTTCATCAAAATTCTTCAAATGCACATTAAATTACAATATTTCATGTCTGTATATTTACTGTATTCACTTCTCAAAAACTTACATTCTGAGACATATTTTTCAGAATATTTTATACATTTTGAGACTATTCAGAATATGTGATGTTAGAGTCATCTGGCGATAATATGATGAATGCTATCCACTGAAACAGCACTTCAAAATGTCTTGATTTCCATAATCCGTATTTTTTTGATGCTCCGTATTACGCAATCAATAGTCAGCATAATTTCCGGTCAAATACTCTGCCTACCTGGCTCGTTTCTTTTAAATCTTCTTTGAATTGCGCGTCTCTGATAAGAGCATTGAAGCTATCAGCTTTTATCAGAGAATGTCACCACGTCATTTTCCAAATTTTCTTTCATTGTTTGAAACAATTTTTTTTTATTTCTTGGAAAAAAAGACCAGCTCCTCGAAAAGTCTGCCTTAACTCGCATCCTCATTATCACATGATCTTTAATTTGTCTAGAAACAGGAAAGAATTGCTTAAAAAAACCGTTTTTCACCCCAACGTAGGAAACTCATTTTTGCTACAGAGTTTCTGTCAAAGTCAGGAAGATGATCTTATTCACATCATTTCGAGATCTGCGAGACGCTTCCAGGGGACCAGTTCTCGCTAATTACTCGCTGTGCAAGCCGAATATCTATGTTGTTTGAGCAGCCAATTTCTTGTAGAACATTTACCACACCGATATTCATGTTGTTATTGATAAACACACCTTTAAAAATATTGAGAAAATGGATCTTTACAATCCTGCACGGTGTGAGAGGTTCTCAGATATTTTCCTTTGACTAGTTCCTTCCGCTGA